TCTCGGACTATCCGGTCTCGACTACAACACTGATACAAATCAGTAGTGAGTAGGGTCTTCATCGGACAAGACAAAATAATTTTATGCATAATGCACAAAGACAATGGACTCATTAGCATATCAATGAAACCAATTAGCATATCGATGGATGATGTTAGCATAATAAAAGAGCGCATGGGCGTATGTAAGTTTTATCGGACAAGGGATGGGTCTAAAAAAATGTATTGGACAAAGGGGAAACCCATCCCCTAGATGGAATATTGGACAGAGGAAGACGGGAACTGGAATAGTGGACAAGGGGAAAACATGAACTGAAATATTGGACAAAGGGGGGCAGCCCATCCCCTAGATGGAATAGCGGACAGAGGAAGACCTGAACCAGAATAGCGGACAAAGGGAGACTTGAACTGGAGTAGAGGACAAAGATGAATGTCAAACGTTTGAAATGACCAAGACTATCATATGTATTCATTCAAAGCAGTGTGCAAACAGTGAATAATAAAAGCAAAATGCAGGCCACACCAACAGAGTGCCAATTAAGCCGACTAGCTGGAAATCTTGTGAAAAAAATGTTTTTACTCTGGTAAAAATGGAGAGTGTGAGCGACCTTGGGAGAAGTTAATGATGAATCTCGGTCTATCAAGAGCCGCTATGTATAGAAATTTAGAGGAAAACAAATTTTGTGAATGGGGGCAATGTTTTAACGCACTTATAGAGTTACTCATTTACTCATTTCGTTACTCATTTACTCATTTGATTAAATGATGAGTAATGATGAGTAACGAAATGAGTAAATGAGTAACGAAATGATTAAATGAGTAACGAAATGAGTAAATGAGTAACGAAATGAGTAACCAAATGTGTAACGAAATGAGTAGCAAATGAGTGAATGAGTAACCAAATAAGTAGCAAATGAGTGAATGAGTAGCAAATGAGTGAATGAGTAACGAACTGAGTAAATGAGTAGCAAATGAGTGAATGAGTAATCAAATGAGTAGCAAATGAGTGAATGAGTAACGAAATGAGTAAATGAGTAACGAACTGAGTAAATGAGTAACGAAATGAGTAAATGAGTAACGAAATGAGTAACCAAATAAGTAGATATATATTAAATGATTTCATCCGTTCCTTACCATTCGGAGATTAACCTTCAAAGCTTCAACATGAATACTATTTCTGCAGTCAAACCCTATGCTTGTCACCAGTGTGACAAACGCTTTGGACGGAGATATAACCTCTTGAGACATACCGAAAATGCACATGCTGAAGATGAATCCGACATAGACGAAGTTGAGGTGGATAATTCTGAACCTGAATTTAAAAGCAGTAGATTTGAAGATCCGGAAATGGAAAACTATGAAACTGAATCTACGTATGATGAAGACGAAGATCTTGAGGAAAATGATTCCGAATCCGTCACGGAGGTGGAAGATGACGAATCATCGGATGAAGATGAGTCTAGTTCTGATTTGGAAGACAATGCAGCCTATTTAGACTGGTTGGGAGAGGCAAAAGAAGCGATTGATGAGATGTGGAGTGAAAAACATGAAAAGTACATCAACGAGGGCATGAGTGAAGATCAGGCCACGGAAAAGGCCTTGTGGGCAGTCAAGCGAATCTTTTTCAACAAATACAAAGATTTTTTGTCAAGTTACATACATCTGAAAGATAATGATACTCATCAAGAAATTGTGGACGAGATCGAAGACAGAGTCATTCATTCCGGTATTCTACTGCCCACGGCTGTCAGCCGGGATATCTAAACACCAGGCCAAATTTGACGGCCTGTTCCATCAATTAGATGAAGATGACGTTAACGAGGAAGACAGTAACGATTAAAGACTAGTCAACGTTACATTAAGATCACTGATGATTTAATTGCAAAGAATACATTTAAAAACAAATTAAAAAAACCCACGAGTGTTTCATTGAGAAATGACGTCAATAAAGCAATAATGTTATCATGTATACACTTTCTGCAGTTGTATTTTTCTTTGTTGGTGTTGTCTTACAGTTAAACAATCGGGAAAGCCCTACTGTCAAGCAGTCATATAATTAGTGTTTGGGCGCCCTGTCAATAATCCCCGAAATGTTTACGGTCTTTAATGCTTCATGTATGGCTTTATCACGCACCGTGTCCAACTTTGGGACATTGTTGGGGTAAAAAAGTTAGTTGCCTTATGACACTCTAAATCTTCAATATAAAATAGAAGTACGTACTATTGCTTTAACACAAAAAGACCTAGTTATATATATATCCTTGATTTTGTAAACAAGTCCGGCACGGTGGTACACTAGGGTTCGGTGCATTCCTGTACAGACAACGGTAAAGGGGTATTAAGGCTTGAAATCATGTTTAGTCAGTCAACTTCATTGACTTCTTTCACGTACAGATTTTTGAAGCTCCCGCACATGCCGTGCGCTGCCAATTAAGTCCCATTGCCAATAAAGGGAGTCAGCGTTCACTACTGTTGCGTAACTCCTGGCAATCGATATTTAGAACGCTCAATAATCCATCCCCCACTGTACATGCAGGTAGGTTCAGTCGGTGAAAGATAATCGATATAATGAACACGTCTTGAAAGAATTACGTCTTTATGGATTAGGGAAACAGCGCTATCTGATCGGACGGTGTAAATATACAATGTGTACATGTAGGATGCAGTCAGTCCCTTAATACAGATGTACGTGTACATACTGTACGCACCGTACCGAGTGAGCCGACCCTGAAAGTTTGTATTTTCTACGACCACCGCACACAGATATACGTACATAGATGGTTCTGGCGGTAATGTGGAAGAATACAGTCGACTCTCGTTATAACAAGGTCGATGGGACTAGCCAAATTACCTCTTTATTACCTCTTCTTTTTGTTATGAAAGGACAGCGAAACAAAGAAACACAAAGAGACCCTGAGATTTGGGACCTCAGAATTTGCTTTTTATAAGCAGAACCTCTTTATAAAAGTGCTCTTTATAATAATTATAATGAGAGTCGACAGTATTGTGCAATTGTTATTGCACCTGGATAACACACACGATATGACAAGGCAAATATCGGTGCAGAAGCACGGAGTTATTTATTTGCTCCATGATCGGTGCGGTCATCGAGGGGTGATCGACCATCGGTCTCCGTATAGATCTAGAACGCATGGATTCATTAGCTCTCTGATCTATTATTAACACAATTCCTCCATGGTTAAAACAATCATCGGACTATACCGTGCAAGTACGCTGTTCACCGGTGAGTGTTTGTTTACTACAAATACATAAATTAATTTTTCAAACTTTTTTCAAACTCGACTAGAAGAAACTCTTGTATGTCTGTACACGTACACGAACTTGTCCGTGTGGATTGCACAATGGACTACCGGGATCAGTCATTCGCAACAAATCTTAAGGGTTGTTCCATTCTAGACGATGTTCGCCGTACTCGATAATAATTTACTAAAAGATAAATTCTTCAATTAGACAATCATGATTGTTACTTTCTTTCTTTCTTTTTTGGAAGGGGGGAAGGGTAATGGTTAACTGCAGCAAAAAATTGTAAGCGTTATGATCAATACCGCAAAATCGACAGGCATTTAATAATCGTTCAATCGTGGCATTTTTATATTCGCGTCGTTTCCACTCTATAAGTGCGTTAAAACATTGCCCCCATTCACAAAATTTGTTTTCCTCTAAATGTCTATACATAGCGGCTCTTGATAGACCGAGATTCATCATTAAGTTCTCCCAAGGTCGCTCACACTCTCCATTTTTACCAGAGTAAAAACATTTTTTCACAAGATTTCCAGCTAGTCGGCTTAATTGGCACTCTGTTGGTGTGGCCTGCATTTTGCTTTTATTATTCACTGTTTGCATACTGCTTTGAATGAATACATATGATAGTCTTGGTCATTTCAAACGTTTGACATTCATCTTTGTCCTCTACTCCAGTTCAAGTCTCCCTTTGTCCGCTATTCTGGTTCAGGTCTTCCTCTGTCCGCTATTCCATCTAGGGGATGGGCTGCCCCCCTTTGTCCAATATTTCAGTTCATGTTTTCCCCTTGTCCACTATTCCAGTTCCAGTCTTCCTCTGTCCAATATTCCATCTAGGGGATGGGTTTCCCCTTTGTCCAATACATTTTTTAGACCCATCCCTTGTCCGGTAAAACTTACACACGCCCATGCGCTCTTTTATTATGCTAACATCATCCATCGATATGCTAATTGGTTTCATTGATATGCTAATGAGTCCATTGTCTTTGTGCATTATGCATACAATTATTTTGTCTTGTCCGATGAAGACCCTACTCACTACTCAAATCGTCGATCGTACCACGATCTGACCTATCTCAGTTTTTGCCATTTCGAAAAAAAACGCGTTTGAAGTTGGGCCTATTTTGCATCCACTCTTTCAGCCAGAACACTAATTTTTGTTGACTCAGTTTTTATATATAATAAAGTTGGATAGTTGAATTATGATTTTAAAATGTTTCTAAGGCAAAAACTCATCATCACCAGGTGAAAAATAGGCGCGAAATCCATAAGTCACTTCGTGAAAATTTTATTTTCATATTTCATGCGCGCGAACGGCGACCAATCTAGATAGGTCACTTCGTGAAAATTTAATTTTCATTTTTCATGCGCGCGAACGGCGACCTATCCAGATAAGTCACTTCGAGAAACGAACAATTTCGATTTCTCTGTAGCTGATAGTGACTTATGTCATATGCGCATGCGCGCGCGCGAACCTCTTCACGTTAAGTCATATGGAGGTTCGTTGCAATCTGTTGTTTTTTATATTAACATTATTGTTATTAGAGATTAATAAGCTCTTACAAATTAAAACGCTGTTATAGTGAAGGAAATATATACGGGGTGCATAGAAACTTGTTGAATACATTGTGTATACCTCCTAGTAATAATTCTTGAACGAATTCATTGTAAAGGTGTACTTTTATTCCATTATTTTGTTATTCTTATTCTGTAAAAAAATCAAGAAATAAAATCCGTGGACAAAACAGGTATTTTGTTTACACAAGACTCACAAGTTCAAGTTACACTGAAACAGAACGATAAACGTACATGTACACTCTCATAATCTTCAAATCTTTGTTTTCTATTTTTTTTTATTCTTCAAAGTGTGCTTTCTCATTATTTAAACCTATTATTCCCTAAAAACAGCAGTTTTCTGCAGATACTTTGTAAAATCCTCCCCCTTAAAAAAATATGATATATCTCAATGACATACATACATAATGACATACATTTAAAAAAAATCGGCTGCATTTTAATTAACAATGCTCAAAACGTCAAAATTGAATGTAAATAGGATGTTTAGTCGCGTTAATACAATGAAGATTTTGGTTTTTTTGAGAATCGACTATCAGAACAGGCCATATTTAAGGGCCACTCAAGGGATAGAAAAAAGTAAATCGAAACACAAATTAATTATGTAGAAAGACATGTACTGCCTTGATGTTTGAACTGGGACTGACCATAATCAAAACGAAAGCATGATGCAGGTCTGTTGTAAAGGGTTCAACAGAGAGGCATTGCAGAGAGTTGTTCTCAGCAATCTTTCAAATTTAAAAATAAGGGCTTTACTTGAAACGTTCTTAGCAATGAATTTCCTTTATTTGTTCTTAATTACTGTTTTTAGTTTTTAGTTTTACTATAGGTGCATAAATGAAATAGTGCGAGAACTGACAATAAAAGAGGTATCTCTTAATATTTCAAGATAAGTCTGGCATTAGTGAAGGATGTAGATCAAAGGTGATAACAGTGACGGCTAAGGAACAGCTCCTGGTTCAAAGATTGTGGAGTTACAAGCACAACACATCGAAAATCTGGAGTAATACACACAAAAAAGAATAGAAATACATTCACTCAACATTTTATCGGCAATCAGTAGTCGCCCTTTGTTTTAAGGCTGAGCATTTTCCCGTTACATTCCGAGGCAGACTGTGGCAGGTGGTTCATGCATTCAGTAATCAATACTTTTTTATTAATTTAAATTCAGAATCTCTTCTTTTAATATTGTTACGAACCCAGAATGCTTGATTATGGAAATCTAGCGCCCTCTGGATTCACTCTGTCCATGAAGTACACAATCTTCTTGTTGTCTTTAGCTGTTCCCTTATTTTACCTAATTATCGTAAATTGCCAACTTGCACTTTTATTCCCAGGGTCTCTTACCAAGCACAGCGCATGATGCAATACCACGCGCGCTACTGCATGCATTATTCATGTAGCGATGTACATGTGCGCGACTGACCACACCTCCCTTTGCCCCAGCGAGCTAAGTTCCTTTCCCCATAGCATGCGTGCTTTGGCGTTCTCCGAGAGACTGCTCAGCGGCACGGAGCATTTCTCTCCCCCGTGTGTTACCCATGAACACTAACTGGAGTTCTCGGTCCAGTTTTCCAGTCCCGTACTTAGCTCGAGGGAATGGAATGTTACCTTGCGTGGTCGCGTAGCTGGGCGTGGTAAGACATCCTGCGGTGTCAATAACCTGTGACACAGTAACCTTTTAGCTTGTCACTCACTCCATCAAGGTTGCTCGAGATGTTGCGTAAACACTTTTGCACTCTGATCTAACTATTTGCACACATCTATCTCTGTATTTGCACACTTCTCTCTCCATGTTTTTCCTTATGTAAATGCACACGTTTCTAGTCTCTTGCACTAGGCACTCTTAGTAAACCATGTGACTAGTCATGTGACCCTTAGACATGGAAGATTACTATTGGTTAATTCCTAAATCAGTGCTCATGCATTATTTAATCCCGAGACTTCTACTGCCTATAAATACCGGAGGTTTTCCTCACTTTCGGCAGTGCGGCGAACCACGAAACCAATGTAGTGCGAACGAACCCTAAACCCAAAGTTGTGCGGCGAACTTATATGTTGTGCGGTAAATCGTATGATGTGCGACGAACTCGACTCTGACAGACCGATTGTTGTGCGACTCTTGTCACTACGAAGCATCGGCCTCCCTCGGTGGTTGAGGCGCGGTGAAGTAATAGTGCAATCACTAGTACTAGTGTTATTATGAACTATGAAGCATCCTTCTCCTAGATCCCTCGAGGAGTGTGTAGAAGCTGGTGAAATAGTAATACACTAGTCCCAATGGTGCTGTGCGGTTTCGAATGGCCATTGGACTGCTAGTCTTAGCTTGAACATGTTGTGCGGTTGTCTGGTGTTCTAGCCCAGCCAGAGCTAGTTCATCCCCGTCACCACAGCGGACCGCTCCCGATGTGGTCAGCCGGCTCCCCGTAGCCATTCCCCCCGTAGTTCAGCTATGCTAGCCCGGTCTTGTCATAAACACTATCCTTGGTGCATAGTGCCTCGATTGACCTTGGATACCCGATACGCCACATGCACACTTTGGTTCGAACTGTAGTGCGGCCTGGTACACTTGCTGGCCCCGTCCAGTTACCGTTGCCTCCCGGTCACCGTAGCGGACCGCTCCCGCTTCGGTCTGGCCGTCGATAACCCGTACCGTGCCGGTGCCCACTCAGTTCGTATTGGTTGACATGGTTTTGCCATAGTACATAGTACATGTATAGACTTTGTAGACACCAACCTGTTATCTCTATAACGCTACCAAAGACTATCAAAAGCAGAAACCCTATAGGTTGATGAAATCTAACAAAGTTATGTAAAGTGAAGAGATGAATAAATCAGTGTATTGACATGTGTGACTGTCACCCCAAATCTCTGTTTCCCTCCAACTTATTGAATTATTGTTGACTCTAATAATGTTTCATGAACTGCTATTAGGGAACGCAACAATATAGTCGACATGGAAAATCAATATAAAACAATTACAGTTTGTTGAAGGGAATTATTGATAAATCATTCAGAATGTGTTAAATGTCTGGTGTCTCTAACCTTGCAGTCTGTGTCTTTTTTTTTAGATTTTCACATGTTTTGCAATATGAACTAAAACAAATCATAGCAACTGAATTTGCAGTTCACCCCATTTATATTCTCTTTGTTATTTGCATTGACTTTAGAATTGTAGCAAGACTGGAGTACTAAATAAACATTTAAAAAGAGAGAAACGAAGCACAAAACGTAAAAACGAAGAACAGACGCAATGCTTTTTTTGATCTGAGCCGGGCAGTATAAAACCAAAATAATAAGCAGCAAAAGTATAACCTTTATGTTAAAAAATGCTTACATTCATGCTCCAGGAATCGATCACTTTCCTTTCAACGAAGCGTTTTCAAAACTTCATTCAATTATGTAGACGAATGGTGATCTGTATAAATTTTTGGCTGCAATTAACCACTGAGACATCCACATTCTGTAACACAAACAAACCAAACCAATCACGAATCATAATATTCAAAAAGCAACCTTAGTTTGGCCCTTTTATTGAATAAATATTTTCCCGAAAGGACAGTCAGTGAATCAACGTAAATATCAACCGAGATGTCATTAAAAAGCATTAGTTCGGAATCGAACCCCACTCAAGTGTTATTCTGACTGATTAAACTACCCACTATACCGTCTACACTACAGTACGCCAATAGGCTAATGAGTGTAGGATTTTGGGCTATTATACACACGAGTCTCTGCAAAACATGTATTTAGACAAAGCCCAACACGAACATATTGCAATACGAGTATCAAAATACAGAAGGAATATACTGTTGCGTTCCCTAATAGCAGTTCATGAAACATTATTAGAGTCAACAATAATTCAATAAGTTGGAGGGAAACAGAGCTTTGGGGTGACAATCACACATGTCAATACACTGATTTATTCATCTCTTCACTTTACATAACTTTGTTAGATTTCATCAACCTATAAGGTTTCTCCTTTTGATAGTCTTTGGTAGCGTTATAGAGATAACAGGTTGGTGTCTACAAAGTCTATACATGTACTATGTACTATGGCAAAACCATGTCAACCAATACGAACTGAGTGGGCACCGGCACGGTACGGGTTATCGACGGCCAGACCGAAGCGGGAGCGGTCCGCTACGGTGACCGGGAGGCAACGGTAACTGGACGGGGCCAGCAAGTGTACTAGGCCGCACTACAGTTCGAACCAAAGTGTGCATGTGGCGTATCGGGTATCCAAGGTCAATCGAGGCACTACGCACCAAGGATAGTGTTTATGACAAGACCGGGCTAGCATAGCTGAACTACGGGGGGAATGGCTACGGGGAGCCGGCTGACCACATCGGGAGCGGTCCGCTGTGGTGACGGGGATGAACTAGCTCTGGCTGGGCTAGAACACCAGACAACCGCACAACATGTTCAAGCTAAGACTAGCAGTCCAATGGCCATTCGAAACCGCACAGCACCATTGGGACTAGTGTATTACTATTTCACCAGCTTCTACACACTCCTCGAGGGATCTAGGAGAAGGATGCTTCATAATAACACTAGTACTAGTGATTGCACTATTACTTCACCGCGCCTCAACCACCGAGGGAGGCCGATACTTCGTAGTGACAAGAGTCGCACAACAATCGGTCTGTCAGAGTCGAGTTCGTCGCACATCATACGATTACCGCACAACATATAAGATCGCCGCACAACTTTGGGTTTAGGGTTCGGTCGCACTACATTGGTTTCGTGGTTCGCCGCACTGCCGAAAGTGAGGAAAACCTCCGGTATTTATAGGCAGTAGAAGTCTCGGGATTAAATAATGCATGAGCACTGATTTAGGAATTAACCAATAGTAATCTTCCATGTCTAAGGGTCACATGACTAGTCACATGATTTACTAAGAGTGCCTAGTGCAAGAGACTAGAAACGTGTGCATTTACAAAGGGAAAACATGGAGAGAGAAGTGTGCAAATACAGAGAGAGATGTGTGCAAATAGTTAGATCAGAGTGCAAAAGTGTTTACACAACATCTCGAGCAACCTTGATGGAGTGAGTGACAAGCTATGTCACAGGTTATTTACATCACAGGATGTCTTACCACGCCCAGCTACGCGACCACGCAAGGTAACATTCCATTCCCTCGAGCTAAGTACGGGACTAGAAAACTGGACCGTGAACTCCGGTTAGTGTTCATGGGTAACGCACGGGGGAGAGAAATGCTGCGTGCCGCTGAGCAGTCTCTCGGAGATCGCCAAAGCACGCATGCTATGGGGAAAGGAACTTAGCTCGCTGGGGCGAAGGGAGGTGTGGTCAGTCGCGCGCATGTACATCGCTACATGAATAATGCATACAGTAGCGCGCGTGGTATTGCATCATGCGCTGTGCTTGGTAAGAGACCCTGGGAATGAAAGTGCAAGTTGGCAATTTACGATAATTAGGTAAAATACAGGAACTATAAAAGACAACAAGAAGATTGTGTACTTCATGGAAAGAGTGATCCAGAGGGCGCTAGATTTCCGTAATCAAGCATTCTGGGTTCGTAACAATACTTACAGACGTTTACAGAATCAGAAACTCGGTTGAAACTTGCTAGTTTCGTTCAGCCATCAAACGACATGTGTACGCCGCCGTTGTTTTTGATAACGCTAAAGACTTGACCCTGGTAACTCAATTTCATAAGAAAGTGATAGGGGCCACATTAAGTCCAGGTACCAGACTCTATAAGTCACTTCGTGGAAAACTGACAGCGTTGTTTACGCGTTTCACGAAGTGACCTATCTCGATGCGTCAGTTCGTGAAAATGATAATTTAGCATTTTGTAGCGATAGGTCAACATTTTTAATTAGCTGAATCAGCTTAATTAGCTAATTAGGCCACTTATGAATTTGAAATTTTCAGAAAATAAAGATTTCATCATGCATAACCAGAATATGCTAAAAACCCAAATTCGTCAAAAATTCAGATAGGTCAGATCGTGGTACGATCGACGAAATATTCACAACTTAACTAGCCAAAAAAATAGTTCTAACTCAGCAAACGATGTAGCTCTAAGTTATATTTGCAGTGTTATTTGTTTTATACAGGGAATGGTAAATATAAAAGATTTAAGGACCAAATGCATCTTTATGATCGGTAGATGGCAAATTTGGGGCAAGGGAAGGATATTGTATCGGTCTACTGCGTTTTTATGAGGAAAAACTTGCAGAGGGTAAAACATGAACCCCAGCTTTTATATTCAAACGAAACTACTGGATACACAAGCATAAATATTGTACACAAGCTACTGTATTTACATCTGCACTGTATGGTAAACGAACTGAACTAGTGAAGTTGAGCAACACGATTCTTTTGGTGAACTGGACAAGTTAAAAAAAAAAAATTGTTTGAGGTTCCTTTATGAAACGAAAAAAAAACCCCCAAATCGGTTCTGATATGTATGAGGTATAGTAAAACAAATATAATATGGTTTATTTCGGATGGTCAGCCGATATTAGCTCCCCTTGGTATTGGAAGTTGACAAACTAGCTAGTTCCCTCGGCTTCGCCTCGGGAACTAGCTAGTTTGTCAACTTCCAATACCTCGGGGAGCGAATATCGACTTCCACCCTCAAACCATTTTATATTTGTATACTGTTTCTTCCATATGCCTACTGTCCCAGGTTGTCTGTATCTTAACTTTGGGATATACGTGTGTTGGAAGTGATTAATTAAACAATGAGCCTTATTCGAGTCGGCCATATTGGATTGAAAGTTAGGTAAAATCTTAATGTTTTGAATTTGCGAATAGATATGAAAGCAAGTTAATTCCAGTCTGCTTCAATGAATAATTTGAAATTTGTCATTTAACATTCCCCAATGTTTAAATCCATATTTAACCCCAAAAAATGACATAAAATAAAGCTGCATTGTGCCTGCATAAATAGTCTGGCGCCATTCATTACACTATTAATAATTAATGAAATAGGGAACTCGACAAAAATGGCCAACTCGTGAATAAGGCCCATGCCATGACGAGTAAGCATTGCTGGTTTCATTGACAGCTGGTGCCATATTGCCAGTCTAAGGCTGAGAATCGATGATTGGGTGTAACCGCAGGATGAACTTGTCAGTGTATTATTATTGCGTATATCTGTGAAGTTCGGGCACAGATGCCAACAATGAACTGCGTCAACGAAGCTTTAAAACGACAAAAGTAACCTTCAGGGGAAAGGTATTAGCCAGGATCCTTATTGAAAAAAACAATGAAAAATTGTCAACAACTTTCAATGCAATAGTCAAATTTGCTACAATGATAAGTTAATTGCTTTGGGGTCCATTACCCATCATCTGCGTAACTCCGATGGCGCCACAATTCATTGCGGTATTGTGCCTTCCTAGTCTCTCCGGAAGCCGATAAAAGACAGGTATTCACTTCAGTTGTCTCACATTCCATATATTTTCTGCCAACTATTCATGCGTGTGGAATTCTGTGGCATTGTAGTCTGAGGCATTGAATTCGTTGAGGGGGCAGGGGAGCGGATTCCAACCCGGCCCTTTTAGCGTTGCAGGGCTCCTAAAAGTTTTGGAATATGAATGCTCTGTGGTGCAATCTAAGGCGATTCCTGGCCACTTTCATACGACTTTTTTAGAAAAAGTTTCTTGAGATTATAAAGACAATTTATTTCATTATTTTGTTTACAATATACTTTTGCTCTTACAGCGTTTCTACCGTACTGAAAAGTTGGGAACCCTGTATTTTTATCTCCATTTTTGTTCCATTTAATTCTGGAAAAAAGAATTGTATCATTATGCATGACATCGTATCCAAGTTGATGCAAGGCTGCTTTCTTACATTTAGTAAATTCCTTCGTGTATGTTTTGTTTTATTTTCCAAGCCCTTTAATACTGCACTGTGATAACCAAATTTGATGACATCATCGTACTTCACAGGTCACCGCACAAATAGATACCCAGTGTCCTATGTTCCCCTCTATAGTATCACTACCAACCTGGTGGATGACGGAATTACCACGCAAACCCAGCACAGAGATTCAAAGAAACAACTTGTTTCAAACAAGCTAATCAGTGGAACTGCAGTGATGAGGCCTTATGCCGTGAACATGGCTGGCCGAAAGCAAATGCCAGCAAGATTCAAAATTGGTAAAAATGCTCTCATACAGTCCGGCAAAGCTTTGCTGATTTTCATATTAATTACATGCACAATGGTCGGCTGCTTCAATCGTCTGCTGGAATCGACAGTAAGGAAGCAACCGTTGCCAGTGCAAGTGCAACCTAAACGGATTGAAGTGCAGCCGCTACTGAAGACGCAGGTCAGCTTTGCCCAAAAAACAAACTCTGAAAACATCCTTTGTATTATCACCGGACGCTGGAAATACCTCCGTATTAATTTTGCTTACATCTATCGCAACTTGAGGAAGAATGGTGGAGTTCTGGACAAGGTCCACTACTATATGGTGATGTATGACAAGCAAACCCTCTCCAAACTGACCGAGTTGACTAAAACCGCCAACAAAGTTCTGCAGGAGGAGGTTTTTGAGCTCCGATTTCGCAATCGCATAAACAAAAAGGTGACTGTTGCTATATTTGGCAGATTTGTGTACGAGATTTTCGATGAGATGGCGAGGCACTCAGAGAGAAAGTACTTCAAGATGGACGACGACATCGTGTACATCCACCCCGGCGCCTTCAGGCAGCTGATTGAGCAACAGAACACCTCCGAGTGCTTCATTCATTTCGCCAACACAGGAGGTGCTAACTGGCGCAGTAGCTATATCCACCAAGAGATGGGTATCTTTGACAACGAGACTATCAACCCAAAGAAGCTGAAATTTGAGTTCAGCCGTGAAGGTCTCCCAAAGTGCGGCTGGAAATCAGCGGATTGTGCTGTGGTGGCACTGGAGGCATTCTTCTATCACTACGAGAACAAATCACTGGAGAAATTACTATATGACGGACGGTACCTGACCCCTGAAAGAGCTCGCTTCAGCATCAACTTCCTCTTAATGGATTCAAACCTCATTGACATGAAAGCCATGTTGAAAAGTGGACCAATTCGTGGAAGCGAGGAACTATGGTTAACAGTCATCTACTCCGGCAAAGTCAAGAATCCCAACTGCGTTGTAGGAAGGGCCTTTGTCGTACATTTTTCGTACTACACTACCGTGCGGGAGATTACTAAACAAGGCTTTCTGCCAAGGTTTGAGATGATTGCACGTGATCTCGTAGAAGCTCTTCCCGAAGCACTTCAAGACATCCTTGCCTTTAATAAAACACTTGGATCTTGAAAACCCTGACAGTTATTTCGCGCTGTTAACACCCCAAAAGGCATAACCACTGGTCATCGTTCGTTAGCCAAATTTGGTAAAATTTCACAACATGTACAGGGTAAGTCAAAAAGAAAAATACCCAATTTGAAATATATTTTACAAATATTTGGTTTGCACCATTCACACACACACACACACCCCCCCACACACAAAACATAAGAATAAAGTACATCTTATTGACGTATTGACTTTTAACTGTGAAAATTTCACGTATTTTGCATACTCTATTCCCAAGTTATGTATATTTCAATAAAGATATCACAAAACTCGGCTGTCCACTGACTATTTGGCGATGAATGTCAATTGAGTATAATGAGACGCGGACGCGTAATATGTAATACTCACCCAGCTTAATAACTTCTAATGCCATTCCATGGACAGCTATAAAAAAAAATGGTTCTTTAAGTAAAACGTTCATAACTCATGATAGCATGGATCAATTTCAGCAATAATGTCTTAGATTAGTGGAATAAGATGCTCTTTTCAAACTTTATTGGTGTTTCAAATTTGATGGCTTTTAAAGGAAAAAAAATCATTATTTTGGGCAATTTTCTTTTCGACTCACCCTGTACATGTACATCAAATGCCATGTACATTCGATTCGTGGCACACTGATAATAATACATTTGTGTAACTTTGAAACTCAATTTTCTTCTGGCCCAATCGCTTCGAAAGAGAGATGGGCACTCCGCTCCTGTTCGTCCCCTTAACCTTAACCTTATATTCTTTTACTCTGTGCACTTTCACACCGACGGAAGGTGCCCTTTTTTTCTGAGCAAGTGCCCCTTTTTGGTGTTGAGCCCCCCCCCCCCCCCAGTTTAAAAAAGCGTTCCGCCGCCTATGGAGCCAAAATAATGTTAGGCAAGGCAAGAAACTAAATTATATTATGCAACTTATGACGTGTCCAGATCAGATATAATGGCTATAATTCGGCCTTTGCCACTGACGCGCTAACGTCGACAGTCGTAGCCGTTTCAGAAACATCTACGCGCCTGGTCCAGAATCTTTCAGACGATTTTGGCAAAGTGGACATGCCTTTTGTTGGAGGGACTTAAACCCCTAACATGTTCATTGGCTGTTTCGGCAACCAGCCGAGGTAACGTCACGATGACGTCATCGTTTGATTTTTTTATGATTTCTTTTAACATTAAAATTTTTATTCTGCTTCCAAAAGCGCACACTTCCCTACTATCGAATTGACTTTAAACTTGGTTCGAACTAAGACCACAATGACAAAATGTACATTGAAAGGTGTTGTCAAGATGACGTCATTGCAGGGCATTTGGCGTCATGTGATG